CCGTTTGGGACGCCAGATGGCAGGTTTGGGCACGTTGGAAGCCGTTCTTGGGCACGCTGAGGCCGTTCGCGCTCCGCCGCTTCATGATGCACGTGCTAGTATGCACCCTGCTTGAAAGCTTTCGTCCCCCCCCCAGCGGGCGCAAGTCTGTATCTACAGCGCGATGTTTCAGCTGCAAGGAGATCCTGGAGAACTGCGCCACAGCATTGTTTACACAGGCCGGTGCACCGCATGGTGGGGCCGGGGTGAGAGTCCCATGACAACTCGACCTTGAAAGTTGGTTTGCAAGGTGCCAGAGGGGCTTTTGCCGACGGTCACATTTTCGCTGATGAGCCTTGGATCATATTGTGTGGATAAATTCGACTGTGCTTGGCATGCTGCTGGCTGCTCCTGCCAGCCTTGCAAGGATAGCATCTTCCAGGATGTCCAGGCATGAGACACCCTGCTTCAAGTCTGGTTTTTGTACTGGTCCACAGGCAACAGGTCGTCGTGAAGAAGCTTGATGCCATAGAGTCTCTCGGATGTCGCTTGGCTTGATTGGGAACATTGAGAACATTAGAGCAAAACGTGTCTTCAAAACATGTCTTTGATACAGACAACGTGGTAGAGGCTTGCTGGGGTGGCTCACCCCAGTGGTGCGAACAAAAGCAATGAAGAAGAGAAGCCTTACAGATCCTAGAACTGCGGTCATTCTGTGCACCCAGGCGCATCCGTTTTTTGCTCTGACAAAACTGGAACCCTCACGCTGGGAGAAATGACTGTGCGAGCCTCAGCTTTGTCAGTTTTGCCGTAAGTGCCCTGCACTTTAAACTTCTGAACTTTCCATTGCAACTTGTTTGAACTGCTATTGAATTGAAGCCTCCTCGAGTCTTGCTGCACACAGTTCTCAATGCCATGCGCAGCAATCTCGCATATTGCGCAGTCCTTGATGTCCAGGGATGTAAGGACGTACTGTTGTCCCTGAGCCTTGCATCGGCATGGAACTCTCACCTGCCACTGCCACCTGCCCCAAATCAGAACGGAAGCCGCTGCATGAGCCAGCAGGAACATAAGCTCCAGAGTTTTGGTCTCGATTTCAGTCTGTGGTTTCCACGTTCCATAAAGAACAAGTGCAAAGCCGCATTTGTGAGCCTTCAGAGCTCAGGTGCAGCACGTTTTGGTGCCTGACGGGGGCAAAGCATCTCGGCAAGTTCGTAGATGGTGGACTGGTTGGTGAAGTCAGGATGTCGCAGAATCACGGGTCTTTTTGTGTTTTGGGAACAGAATTTTCGCGTGATGAGCAGTTTGCTTCTGTCATTGTCAGTCATCCGAGGCAACCCTTTTCAATGCCCAACAGTTGCAGGAAGCGCGGGATTGTCTGGGGAGCTATTTTGCATGTTGCGTTATGCAAGCGAGATCAAGCAAGGGTTTCTTTTGCCTGCCCTGCGGAAACAGATGCTGAATGATTAAAGTTCCCAAAAATGATCTAAGTTGGCAGGCGGAGGTGGTTCGACGCGACTCGCGTCTGCAGCAGCTTGCAGCAGCTGCCCTTACAAACAACAGCGTGCAGGCTTTGTTCACCGGGGAGCAGCAGAGAATTGTGGTGCCTCCTCTGTGGGAGCATAGGGCGTTTGCTGCAGGTTGCTGCACGCGGCGGAGCTGATGAGGCGCTGCCTCTACGGGGCTACAAATGGTGTCTGAGTTGTTTCATAGTGAGACCTCTGGAGGTTGTGGGGTCTCCCACCGAAGTTGCCATTTGCAGAGCAGCTGCTGCTATGCACCTCGGAACAAGTGCATGTGTGAAGCAGAAACAGGCATTCACATGACTGTGACTAACAGTCATGGAGTGTACATATGGTAGAGCTAGTTGATGTGTCAGGTTGGGGAAAGCTCCGAGGGACGCAGTGAAGTTTTCGGCGCGCGAGGCAAGCAATTCTACATCCGTCACTTTCCAGACTGAAAGCATAAGAAGGGGAGCAGCACCGAACAGTACAGAAGCATCAGCATCGGCAGTCACAGTGCACATAACCGTAGTTATGTCACACTCATAGGAAGAGCACGGTGCCATTGAGCAGGGTGTGAAAATGAATGCAGAGATCGGCCTTGGGCAAATCATATATCATCATACTTGCTTCACTTTAAATGCAAAGCAAGCCAACATGTGCCGCTTTTGAGTTGCCTATGCAACATGTCACCCGATCTTGCCCCGTTGTTCGCAAGTTGACAGCTTTGCTCATGGCAAGGGTGTGGCCTTTGAGATCCCGTTCAACTCAGAGAACAAGTGGATGCTGACAGTATTTGCCTTATGATGTCAGCAGCTGCTTGCCTGCACTTTGCTCCCTATGTACATATGAGCCCAAAACCCTAAGGTTCACAGGCTTCCCGCAGAGGACTGGGATCCAATTCACAATTGACGGGACACATGGGACGGCTACATGCGCACCAGGCGGCCTCCTTTGAAGTCATCGTCAAGGGTGCGCCGGAGAGGGTACTCGAGCTGTGCCATTCGAGCGGGCATGTTCTGAATGACCTCCGCAGCTAGAGTGCATCCACAGTTTTTGAGGGTCTCGGTTGTCATGTAGGAGACATGGTCGGGGTCAGTGAGCAGTGTTTGCCCAGGCAGCCTTATGGACCGGCCCTGGGCTCAAACTTTTGTCTACCTTACCTGAAGCAGGTGCAAGGTGCGTTTTTGACCACTTGTCCCTGTGAATGTGAGGGGGCTCCGCGTGCTTGCTCTGGCTGCGCGACGACTCAGCGAAGATGATATCCCTGCAGGCGAGGATTTCAAAGGCAGGGCTCAGAGCAGCTGCTCCAGAAGGCATGCGATGATGTGCCACTTGACTCTTACTTGACCTCAAACACAGGCGGCTGCTTCAACAGCTGCAACTTTCCCGTGCGGGACTGCAAGTTTCTGGGCTTCTTTGCAATGGAGGACTGGTGTTGCGAACTCATGTCTTGCAGACACTGCTTCGGAGCCCAGCAGTTTTGAGGACCCACCGCGCCCAGGCGTCCGCGAAGCAGTAACCAAGTCCCAGACTGCTGGTGTCAAGGCTAGTTCTCTGCACCCATGTCTGACCCATTCAAGAAGCATTTCTTGAAGAAGCAAGCACAAGTGGCCTCGATATGCAGGTGGTGATGGTGACAGGGGATCATGGAGACACGGCAAGAGCCATCGCCTTGCGGTTGTCCATCCTGGCCAGCTCTTCGCAGCCGTCTCGCGAGGTGGAGCGCTTTCAGGCTGGAGCCTTGCCTTCATCGCACCTGATGTGGAGATATAGGCAGAACCTAGGGCCCTGGGCTCTTGGGCCTGCTAGGCTTGAAGGGACGTAATGTTATTAGTGGATGGGAGAGAAGATGCTTGCTTGGAAGGTGCTTCACGGATCGGATCCTCGCCTCGTCAGCACTCTTTTGTTTGCTCCGTTCCGCCACGGGTGAAATCATGCAAAATCAGTGAAACATGACAGAGCTCCTCTGAACCTCGCTGCTGGGCAGGGCAGATTTCCTTTGAACAGGCAGGTCACATCTATAGGGAAAGCAGCAATAGAACCGCAGGCTGGAAGGCAAGAGAGGAAGATGAAAAAGGCATAGTCAAATTCACACGAGTTCTTTCTTCGACAGGGTCACACTGGACCGTACACTGTACTTGTGGTTTTTCGTAGTTGGCTGAGAAAAAGCAGAGCAAAAGCCACCTTGCAAGAAGTACATGCGCAGTTTGACCGTTTGTGGATGGAGGAAGTATAATGGTCAGTTGTTGTGGTTGTGGAGGTGTGTGGTGTAGCTTCTGTTGGTGCGGCATTCTTTTGAACCATCACTGCCACAGCTACATGTGTGCCAGAAGCTTCTGCTCAAGGACTTGGATCACCATTTACCACCAGACGATGGCTTTGTAAACCTTGACTTTGACTCCAAGGCGCACGCTTCATGAGGATGCGGATGTGACTGGGCTTACCTGCTTTTCGCATGTGTTGCACGCAGGAGTTCTGGCGGCAAGCGGTGCTACACACCAGGCGCGCACCCTCGGCAAACGAGGAACCTCTTCATGCATTGTTTACGCTGCCATCCTTTTGCGCCGCGAGGGTGTTTGCCCGCGTCTCGCCTTTACACAAGCGAATCATTCTGCAGGCTCGTGGCAGCAACTTGTCCTTAAGAAATGTCATCACATCTGCCAGCCGCGAATCACATCAGGCCTACCAGCACTTCGGGCAACAGGGCTTTGGCGACGTCGTGGCCATGACAGGCGATGGTGTCAATGACGCGCCAGCTTTGAAGCAGGCTGAGGCGGACATGTTATACCCGGCACCCAGCTGTGCAACCCCGCCTTTCCACAGAACATGGCGTCAAGACCTTTGAGATTTTCAGAGTGAGTGAACATGTGCCATTAAAAGCAGCGGAGGAGTCTTTCATTCGGCTGCCTTGAGGTGGGAATAGCTATGGGGATGCGCGGGACATCAGTGGCGCAGGACAATCAGAAGGTGACCTGATGTGAGGGTTCTGCTGATGACGGGCAAGTGACATCAGCAAACAAGAATACTGTGTAATGGGAACGCGGCGGAGAATGCGGCCTATGATGGTTCCCGGGATGCAGGCCAAAAACCGCGGACGCAGCGCAACACTAATAATTGATGAATGGCATCGTAAAGCGGCAAGCCCAGACCAGTGCTCGGAGAATTATGGAAAATCAGCTATTCTGCAGACGGTGCTCGTCATGGTGATGAATGATTGTCGGATCAAATGGCCGCTCAAAGTATTAGCAGTGATGACCAACATGCTGCCAAGGGCAGGTCGCTGGCAAAAGGAAGAGTTTTGTTGGGCTTGTACTCTGGCTTCCGCCTCGCAGGACGCTGCGGATATCATCCTCCTGGATGATAATTTCTCCTCTGCACGGAGCCCAGACCTTCATCATTCGTAGATTTAAGTAGTACAGGTCGCGCTTCAAAGGTACTGTTTCGTTCCTATTATCGTTCTGGTTCTGATGTTTCTAACTCAATAGAATTGCAAGGCTGGAAGGCTCAGATGCGTTTGGTTTCAAAAGACTCCCTTGCTGTAGGCGATTGCTGGGATGGAGCAAGGCCGACTGGCTAGCCTCGCGGCTGCAGAGCCTAATTTTTTGGATGGCAGGAGGCACGCAGAATTACATTCGCATCCCCAGGGTGCTGTACCATGGCAGAGGTGAGAATCTGCAGAAGTCGATCATGTACACATTGTGTTCGAAAGTGTGCCTTGCCAAACACATTCAGCAAAATAAGTCGCAGCTTTCCGATTTTTAGTTGCTGTTGGCAGAGCTGCTGAAATCACTGTGTGCCTTGAGCAGCGCTTTGAGGCCACAGGTTCTGCCTGCCTTCCTCGAAGTCTTCGGACTGCCAGAAGCACTGGCCGCAGTGCAGGCAGGTGATCTTCAGGAAGCAAATGCCCCAACCGGTTCTTGCTCCTGCTGAGGATGCTAGGCCATTTCATCCGGATTCAGTTTTTCATGCTTTGCGGATAGTGGACCGCTAGGAAGGGTCAGTGAAGGCCGCATGGCATAACACTGCACAGGTGCTTTTGATCGACATCGGCACGGACATTTGGACGGCAGTCTCTCGGATCATTCTACGGCAGCAATTTTGAAGATGCCTTGGTCTGTTTGTAATTGACCAGTTGCAAGACCAGTGAAAGGTTGCTTTTGCAGCTCAAGGGCCGGAAACTTCGCTAATGAACCGAGCCCCACGTCATCCGCGACTGGACTCCTGGCCCCATTGTTGGCGTGCGACCTTTCTCCTGGTTTCTTCGTACTGATCAATTCGCCAAATACCATTTTGATGTATGGTTTCTCTTTCTATCTCTCTCTCTCTCTCTCTCTCTCTCTGTCTCTCAGGAGCGCATGATGAGCCCAAAGATCTTATTGTACAGCTATGGCTACATCGGCGTGATGCAGTCCGTCTTCTGCGTCCCGTCTAAAATGCCGCTTGAAGGGTACACATGGATCAGCAAAGTGACGCAATGTGCCAGGCTGGTTCATGTACTTCCTGGCAACGCCTGGGATCGGAAGTCTGATCAGATCACACGATGCAATCAAGGATTACACGGATGAGGAGGGTGATGGGTGGAACTTTCTCCAGTCGCAATCCGTTCCTGGGTGCGCCAGGAGAAGATGCTCGAACGACGCGGCATGCAGCGCGACATGCATTTGGCAAATCATCGATGTAAGGGGTCTTGCGCATGTGTTCAGCTGTGGGGTGGATGGGCTCAGGGTAGAGTTTGCAGGGTACATGTCGTGTGTAGAGAAGAGGGAAGAGGTGGAAGACGTGTCCTTTGTGGCAGTTGTTTTCGTTGCACATGATGGCCTGCATCTTCAATGCTTCTGGGTCGATTTTCACTGCGCCCCAGGCTGCAGCGGTCATATGCAAAAGATGCATGCTGGTGACATGAAGCTTTGGTGAGGGACAGGTGACATGTCATTGTCACTTCACGCAGCCTGATCCCAGTTTAGTGAAACAAGATGAAACAAGCTGGGCAAGGCCTGTCTTGAGGACTGTCAGAATTTTCCCTGGATTGCCACGATCCTTTATGCATTGATGGTAAGACTTCCGCAGTGAGACCGGAACTGTAGCCCATAGCTACACCCGCGACCCTTTGAGCCCTTGGGCCGTGCCCTGAACTGCACAGCGCAAGAAAGCCTTCCAAGCATAGCATTCCAATCTCGAACTTCAAATCTGTATCATTTGGACCCTCAGAAAGCCAGGATATGGGTTGGTTCGTAGGTCGTAGTTCAACCCGAGCCCTAAACTTCACTGAGGACCGTCTACTACTGGACTCTGGTGCTCGGTCAGGCGGACATGCATTTGCTAAAAAGCGATGAGACTTTGTAATCATCCGCTCCCATCGTAGCAACCCCCCAGCAACCGATAGGACAAAAAACAAGCAAATATCAATGAAAGTATTGAGGAATTGTGGATGTTGATTGATGTATGAGAACCCGGCCCAGCAGAAATGGGTCCCTGTTCAAAACAGGGAGCGCCCCCGCTCCACCAACACATTGGATCCAATTTAAACTCATGTCACGGAGTTCCCAGGCTGCTCTTAAAAGTTGGTTTTGAGGTTCTAAAATATGTTTAAAAAGGAGGAGGGCTGCGAGCTCAATGGTTGGTTTAAATTACCTTCAATAGGAGACGGGCTTCGGGCTGGGTAGCTGTGGCATCGAATCAGTGGGAGGAGGATGCCGGACTCCGTTGCCCTGAAATTTATCAATACATCCGAATCCCAAAACGTTTTGTTATCAGGATCCGGGCAGCTGAAATAAGAAGCGACTGTTTTTCGAACTGGTTGTCGCTCAAAACATGAAACCCCTGAGACTTGGGATTGTGAGACAAACTGGCCGAGTCAAACATGCTACCACTTGCTTTTAGCCAAGGGCCTCACTCTTTCAACAACTTGCAGGTGGCAAATAAAGATTAGCAACACCCTCGCACAAATCACCTGCGAACCATTGAAGGCATGCTGAACGTTTTTTCTGTCTGGTTTTACTTCGCACAATTCAGAACCCTCACGCTAATCGGGATTTGGCGTAAACAAGGGCCAGCTGATCAGGTGGCGGCTGCCCTGGCCTCTACCACCAAGAGGCAGCCACTCTTCGGACAAGGCGAGTTTCCAGTTCAACAAGCACAGAGTTTTTTTCTGGAAAATCGGAGGTCCATTCTCGGAATTCCTTGTCGGACTGTAGAATTTCGGTGTCTGTAGGGAGATCGCGCGATATGTATATGAGAGTCAACAGGTCGAACTTAAGGGATTATGGGAAGTCTTCAATGGGGTCTGGAAAGTTCCCATACATTTGGGATTCGTAGTTCGCCAATTTTACAAAGCCTCTCGACATCCATGTGCCATCCCTCGCCTCTTTGTAGAGGACATGGCAGCGTGTCAACCTGCAGCCGTTCGTCACTGCGGTCATAAGCTTCAACACCCAGCCTACACCTTCCCAACAAAAATCCGAATGTTTGCTTATGCTGCATATCTCTTGGGCTCTCTTTCTCTCTGTCATGCCTCTTGTTACATTTAGGTTGCTGCGGCATGTAGACCATGCAGATGAGGAGACCTAAGAACTAAAAGTCAGAGTATTTGTTGAATTCTCAACGGCTTTGGGATGTGTCTCAAGTCTGCTTCTTGGCCCGCTTGCTCATGTCCAGGCGGATACGGCTTTCCGAATGGAACGCTGAACATTACGCTCTGTTGCGAAGTGTTGCTCAGCCTTCTGGTGACTGGGTATGCAGCACTCGCAAGAAAACAGGTAGGGGCTTGTTGCAAGCTTTTCCAAAGGGGTTCTGGTGACATGTACTAATTCTGTATGGTCTTACGCCGTTCTTTCGAATCGATATTCGTGCTGCTTGTCACAACTTGAACTTCGAGAGCTGTGGAAAGCTTTTTGTCCTTGCCAAAAACCATGTGAGACAAAACGATACATCTGGTTTTCACCTGAGAATATTGGACTTTCGGCATAGCTATTTCACTGGCATTCCGTGCCGTTCCACTTCCGGATGCCAAAAGCTAGTTCCTACGAGTCTGAGGTGATGCGGTCTTTCATGCTGAGAAGGGCCTTTGAGAAGCCTGGCAGCACAAAAAGATGCGCGATGCATGAGGATCCAGCGTGGATGCGATAGGCCCCCCAGCGCGTTGTATTCCAAAGTTGCCACAGAACCATCTATGAAAGCGCGTGTGCAGGTTTGTGAACGCACATGTACGTCATTGCATGCATTATATATATATATAGATATAATATAGAGATCGGGATGGCAGCTAATTCATTAGGGTTTTCGAGATGCGATGCATTTTCCCTGAGTTACAGCCTAAGATGTGCGTATGTCAGAGATGTTATGTTTGATGCGCTGCTGCACAAGCTTAGGATGGAAAGCATTCCCATTTGGCAGTGGTCTCAGCATGCGTGTCTACCCTTGCTGCATGGCTTGGACACCACGGCCACCATGCCCGTCACACATCTGACACTAATGATCACTCGCGCGAAGTGAATCCGGACTCAGCAGCTTATGAACGCATTGGCAGAGGCCTTCCCTGATGTTGCCGGTGCTCTCGTTGATTGGCATCCTGGGGGCCGAAGAGTCGACAGCTCAATCTGACACAAGCATGTCCTGTTTGATTTTACGGGAGCTTCCCAATCAGCCCAGCCAGTTTCTCGCAGACTGGCATAAGTGTCTTCACGAATCATCTCCTCGTGCTCCTCTACCTCCTCACCTGAAATACCCCTGGTGCAGCTTGACGTGCATCGGCGTGTCAGGTGCCGCAAGCGCTTCGGACTGGGCTTCTCGTTTCTGCAGTTCTAGACTTTCGCGGACTGTACATACCAGCAAACGCTTGAAGGGTGGATCAAAGAGAATCGGGACACTTCATCATGTAGCTTCTCATGGTCACCATAATCAAGATGTGATCTAGAAATGTCGCGTGGTACAGATGCGGGAACAAGGCGTCAAGGAAACCTTGGCGGCCTTTAGCAGGCGTAGGACTTTGAGCAAGCGCATCGAAGCACATCTGTGGTAGACTTGTTCCAGAGATGAGCTTTGCAAGAAGAGCTTGCCTTGCTTGACCGCAAATGCTCTTATTGATTTAGGGAAAAAATGTGCCAGTTCCTGTGGGAAGGTGTCGTTTCTGAGTCAATGGCAAATGATAGTTCAGAAGAGGGAATCCGTAAGCACGCTTCTCGGCTCTCAGTGGTGTATGCCAGGCGGTGCTTGCCTAGGCTTGAGCGGTCGCCGGGGGGTGTAGAGGCCGTCTTGGCCCTTGCTGATGAACATGCAAGGAGCGCGTGGGGTCCCGCTATGTCAGGTGGAACCCATGCGGATTCACCCCACGCGACGCAGGCAGGCGCTGTGGTTCGTTGGAATGCATGTAAACGACATAGGATCGCAGGTGGGTAGCTCTTATAACACCTATTCTTTCTTGTGCTGCTTACTGGCGTGCTCTGTCTGCAGAGAGTTTGCGGCGATCTTGGATGCAGGTACATGGCCCCATGTTGGCGCATACCATTTTGGCTGCTGCTGCTCGTGAATGTGAAGGGGGTGCTGGCTTATCCATGCGAGGCTGGGCGGGCCGCAGAAGGAGACGAATCTGTTGGTTTGCTGTCTTGCCAGGCCGAGATTGCATCAGCATGTCCCGATAGCATGGGCCCAACATGTAGTTGAAGTGGGTGAGCATGCTTTAGTAACCTGCCCTTGCACGTTCCTGCCGTGCTGTTTTTCGGGCAAGTCCTGTGGAGCTCAGGTCCGAAATCAGATCTGGTAGCATGTCTCAAGGACCATTCCTGCTCAAGTCACGTGTGCAGCCAGAGGGCGCCCATGCACACGCAGTCGCGGCAAGGACACCAGCCAGCATGAGTCGCCAACAGAAATTTCCTCTGACTGCGGGCATCCTACAGCGGCCTGAATGCGCAGTTGCTGCCCGCACATGCATGATGGAGGCACTGATTTCATGGCGCTCAACTCAGCCTGTGCAGACGAGATAGAGCAATTGTGCGATGAGGACGGGGCACTTGTGGTTTCTTCTTGAGGTATGGCAGGTGATGTCAGATGTATCATGTGGTGCAGCATGTGAAGCCCACGCGTGCGTGCTCATTGCACGTCCGGCAGCCAGCGCACATCAAAAACATCATGGCCCATTATTCTGCTCAGACTAGTTGCATACGTCCTTGAAGCACACCAGGAGTTCTTCACGGAAGAAACCATGCCCTGCTTGATGAGATACCGTTCGTCAGACGAGGCCCTTCTCCCAACTGCGCACACCAGACCTTTCAAGGGGGCTGGGTTCGGAGACTGAACGATTGCTGGGGCAGGAAATCTCCGAAAAGTGTCAGTCGGCCAAGTGCTTAATTTCCTGCGTCATAGATCTGGCCTAGAAGTTGTAACCCTGCAAGCGCCTTTGCACAAGGTCATGCGCTGGGCGCTTCCTGCAGATGAGGCTCGGGTCTCAGACAATGTCTCATATCAATCTCTGGTAAAGATTTGCGCCGTGGCCTTGGCCTGCAGCAGCGGTTTTTTCAACGAGGAAGCGGAGGAGACTGTGACCGACGAGCTGGGTATGTCAGAGAAGGCTCCCGCATGGGAACTGCAGTCGATAGTTGGTAGAGCAGGTGCGTTCAAATGACTTGGGCGGAGTCTCTTTGCCCTGGCAATAAAGCATTCCTACGCCCCAGGATCGGCAGGAAAAGGAGGAATGGCGTGAGAAGCGGAAGAAGGAACGTGAAGCAGCGATAGAAAGGATGAAGATGAAGGCCTGTCGCTTTGACATGCTGCAGTGGAGCCCGAATGAACAGCAGCTCCAATACGTGAAGCATAATGACAAGCTTTGAAAACTCTTCGCGCGAATTCAGCCCAAGAGCAAACGAGTTGTCAGGAGATTGATGCAAAGAAGGACCACGCCCTCAGCTCTAGGTCTAGGCCTGCTTGTTAGAGCAGTCGTCTGGGCCTCACATCAGCAGGAAGCAGAGCGGAGAGAGCTGGAGAAGTTCAAGGAGGAGAATCCTGAGGCCTGTGAAGATGCTCAGGTGCCCAGCTTCTTGTGCAAATGGTCATGCAAAGCAGGCGTTCGAAGACATGTCACGGGCTTAGAAGGCATTGTGTATGGCTATGCAGGTTACTTCCGGATCAGTTTTGCAGTTCAAGGATGGCATGGCCCCCAAGTACAAGTATCCATGAATTGACTACAACAAGGAAGAAGCAGCAGGAAGAGGAGAAGAGGCAGCAGGCCGAGCAAAAGAAGAGGGAAAGACTGATGAAGGCAGGCTTGACCGCGCACTTGTCCACAAGAAAAGACCACAGCGCGATCAGCGTGGCCGGCCAGGCTGCATGGGAGCGCAAGAAGCGCATCGAGGTCAGCCTGTTTTCCCAGCAGCGGAGTGATCCCCTTCCAAGCCTTGTGGGCTTGTCACGCTTGTCAGTCTGTCGTTCAGTCTCTGTACAGTGCAGCATCTGGCTTCGTCAGAGTGGATTGAAAGCGCTGCCTCCCCACACATAGTTCCCGGCACCATGAAGCACACTGGCAATGACTTCAAGCAAAATCCCCCTAGTCGCTGCAATCCAGATGCAAAAAACGATAATCAGGAGCTGGATGTGCAGAGCAGGGGCATTGATTCATTTTGTTCGGATGTCTGAAGCTTCAGTGAGACGGCTGTGTTTGGCAGCGCTTACATCAAGTCAAGCAGCCTCTTCCAAAAATTGGTTTTGGACTGCCATGGGATGCCATGGGCTTTTTTTTCTGTGAGCTGTTGCTGCATACAGGCTGGGGACGATCCCGATGCACAATCAGGCCCGGGATCCCTGAATCAGTTGGCCCGCATCAGGCATGAAGATTCTTCTGTCAGGTCCATCACCTCCGAGCAGAAGTCCTAACAAAACGTCGAAGGCAAAATCACATGATGCTGAGCTATCTTACCTCGAGCGAGCCAGCCTCGTTCATTGAGAAGGCCGGCGGCTCCTGGTACAGCACCGTTGCCGCCCTGATTATTCTAGTTGCCATCGGCGCCGTCGGCTACGCGGTGGTTACAGGCCCACATGTCTTTCATAGTCGCAGTAAAGTCATGGGAATGTTATGACTTGGAGGCACGGGCAAAGCCGCTGGATCCGGGGGTGGCCGCAGTGGAAAGGGAAAGAAGAAGACACCAAGCCGCATGCTGCAGACGCTGGTATGAAATATTCACAGTTTGCTGGTGCCAGTCTGTGCAAAGGAGGTGACACTGGAAAAGCTGATGCAGAGGCGCTCGCGGTGCAGTGACCTTGTCATTCAGCATTTTGGGCTCCATTGCGGGTCCTCCCATTCGTGGGAACTACCTGGTGAGGCCTGTGGCACGGTCAGCTGCCACTCGGCCCTGCTCAGGATCTGGTAGATAGGATGCTAGTCAGAATAATCTGCGGACTGGCCTAAAATGACTTTAATACGGGTCCCTATAGTGGGGTTCCTAGTATATTAACGCGGGTCCTTACCTGAATTTCTCATTTCGGGAGCAGAAATTTAGGCCAAGTCCCATGTGTGCCGCTTTGAGGGCTCGAAGAGCTCGTTGGGAAGTGTGATTCCCTTATACCCAGCATAGCATCCACAGCAGAGAGTGCGTCTCTGCAAGGCTTCTTGGATGCTCAGGCGGTTGAAGGTTCGAGCTGTACAGGGCTGGCAGCCATTGCTGATCCAAAGAGAGGCGCCTTACTTAGAGCTGCAGCTATGTCAGCCTTAGACGGAGGCGTAGGCACAGGCACAGATGCCATGAGAAAGAGGCGGGTTCTGTGTTACGTGCTTCCTTTGACGCCACCACGCCATGCAAATGTGACCTTTCGCAGCTTCTGAAGCAACAAAACCTAGAAGGACTACGCAGAATGCATGATGAATAGCAGACCACAGTAGGCGCGGCTCTGCATGTTCAGGGGAGATCAGTGTGGGGCCTATGCAAGTTTAGAAAGTCTTGGACGCTGGTGTCTTCAACCTGAAGCTTACGCAGATCACGTATGAAAATCATCTAAACCCATCTAAAGACAGTTCAGCTTAACATTGTGGAATTGGAGACCAGCTATCCGCGGGGCAGCTGGACACATGGCAGCTTTCTTTGAATTCATAGTTCTCAGCTTTTGCGTGTTAGGATAGCTTGTGGCACACTTACCAAGGCGCTGGGCGTCGCAAAGGCGAACTGCGAGGCTGAGCACCCAGAGATCGTTGTGCAATGTTAAGCCAGCGCTGCACTTCGAGGATAGACTTGTTCAAGCTGTGAGGTATGATGGCATGTGTTGCCCTGGCGCCATGTGTGGCTGAGGCCAACAATGACATCACACAGATGTTAATTGGTGGCTACAGCGCATCAAAGGCTGCCCGGTTGGCCGCACTGATCCGAAGTTGGCATAGCAAGTTGGGATAGTTCAGAGCAGGTCCCAGCCGCGGTTCCAAAGTGCATTCCGGCTCTGCCTTCTAACAAGTGGCCTTCTCACTACAAGCAGATCAGGACTGATGATCCCTTTGCCAAGCTGTTGCGCAACCATGCAGCTGACAGTGTATCTGCCTAGGAGGGTGAAGTTCACCAATGCAGACGAGGCGGGTACTGTAGCTTGATGTAGTGTGGGCTTGCCTGCTGTATCTCTCATGTCTGCTTCAGTGATGCGTGCGGTCTTACAGCTTGTGGAAGATGACCATGTGCAGTAGCCCACCTTTCTTCAACAACAAAGCAGCGCCGAATCTGTCTGCACAGGTGCAGATTCGCAACAAACTGGGGTACTTATGAGCAAGCCCTCGATTCCATTGCGGTCTGCTGTCTTGGCGTGAATGTCACCCCATATCAGCCGGAACCGCAGCTTTTGATTCCAACACACGATCTCAAAGTCCATTGCGACATCCGCAAACTCTATTCTTGACCCCCCCCCTTAGTCAGCTCTCCCTAGCATAGTTCTCACTGGGCACGAATTTTTGCGGAGGTGGTTCTCAAGGCCTTACAGGCTAGAGGCTAGATTCGCGGCTAGATGCTTTTCGAGCGCTTGATCCGGCAGCTATCAAAATCAAGCACCACCTGGTGGTCATTCGGGTCCCCAAAGTTAAAGTTAGGCGCCAAGTGCGGCGATCTGTTATACATGCACCACCTAAAAGTAGATATAGCTGTGGGAACTCCTAACCTTGGAACCCTAAGTTTGGACACTCCCATCTGTCAGATGTTGGACATCATGAAGCCGCAGTCGGTCGCTGGACATCCGCTGATCATAGAAGGCTCTGGCATTATAGAGGCCGGACCGGGCCCAGGGCTTCTTAAAAGAGAAAAGATAGTACTCGCAAGCATCCAGTAACAACCCCTCTAGCCTGGCGAAACGTGTCCAGTTGTGCAAATAATTTTGTGATCTATGCTAGAACAGACGCTGTCGGTTGTTCCTGGTAGCAATGCTGGCGTGCACTCAGTTTCCCTGAGTTCTGGTCCATCCCTCCATTGGCCCATGTTGCAGTCGTGTGCGCAGGGCAGCCTGTCATGGAATGCAGCAGGCCGGGAAGTGGTCTGACGTGTCCCACGTCCAGAAGCTGTGGAAAGATCGGAAGGCGGAAGCTAGCGGGGTCTTGACTGGTCACTCTGAGGCGGTGTCGACTATCTGTCCTACTATGGTGCAGATAGTCTTTGCTGTGCCGGATCGCGCACCACGAGCACGCATGTACTTGCTACAGAGTAGAGTTACAAAGTTGAGTTAGACACCACCAGGTTGCATGTGCCCGCATAGGACGGGAATTTGTCTGACAGGTGGCATGGGAAAAGTCTATGTCCCTGTGACTTAGCTTCTGGTTACCAAGACAGTCGCGCAGGTCTTGATCAAGAAATCTCCGAACTCAAAATTTCGCGGCCCGGTTTCATCCAGTGCTGCATTCTCTTCGACCTGGCCAAACTTGTCTGAAAGTTAACTGGCTTGCATGTCGAGGCTATTTTGACATGAAGAAGAACAGTGGTAAGTTTGACTTTCGGCATCGGGCCTACAGTCAGCTTATCCGGGGGCAGATGTCAAGTAGAGACTTGTCATATCGCTCAGCTCTGAGGCACCCCGTGCAAGAGGTGCAGGACATACCGTATTCGCCAAACTGTCGCATCACCTTAGTGCACTTCATCAGATTTGGCAAAGGTAACGTTTTGCAAGTAGTAGACTGTCAAAGTTATGGCCCCTTTTGGGTCCCCACTATACTAAGGCCGCTAAAATTTAGGGTGCCCAACAAGGGACCATAATGGTGACAGTCTATTACATCAAGAAGGGGTCAGCACAACACAACCCCAGCGATGCTGGCAGGACTCGGTCGCTTCTTTTCTGGAGCAAGCTGACAAGATGCTCAGCGAGGGTGCGGGCACCCAGTGCTTGTACACAGCCCATATTTCAAGCACTTGCAGTTTCACTTGTTTTGGCCACTAGGCTCACTGGACTCTTATACTTCCACTTTGTACTTGTAGTTCCATGCAAAACTTGCCAGAGGGAGACTGGAAGGATGGGGCTACATGAAGGCTAAAGTTCCTTCTCAAGCCCAAGCAGAGCATCTTGCCCATGATGGGAGGAGCTGATGAGAGGATGTACCTGCAAGAGACGCTTTCGGGCCATTCTGAAATGGCCGAGGACAGGCGTCAGCTACTGTGTTCTGTGGGTTAGGTTCAGCCGATCTTCCCGCAGAGTTGCAGTAGTAGACAATGCACTTATGGCGGCGTTGCGGGCGCAGCATCGTGGTCAGCAAGTTCTTGGTAGCATTCGTAGCCATTCTAGCCCTATCGTGAGGTCACGGGTTGACAGATGCTGTGAGGAGTTTGCCTCATGGAAATGGGAGCTGCCGATTCGAATAAGCCACGCTTGCGGCTGGGGTTTGCCCGATTCCAATGAATTTCCGCTGCAGCATGATGTATGACAGCGTCGGCAACACTACCCGTGCGTAGCCAACCGCAGAAATCGTAGTGGAGAATTCCTCTTTAAGCTTTGATTTCTATAGGCTTGGCACTAAAGTTCTGTGAGCTTTCAACCATGGACGCCTTCCAATCACCTTGACGTCCATGCGGGTAAATGAGAACAGTTCCGACCTGCAACCATCTTGCGCTGGCAACAGTTTGTGCAGAGACATGCGCCATGGCTACTGTCCATGGGGCTTGGTTATGTCTAGGGACTGTGGACCTTCTGCTGCTTAACATGGTATTTAGCAATATTGGGTCATGGACTGGACATCCCCTGCTGCTTCGGTCATGGTTCGGGACTTGCACATGCAGTATGGCTTCTATATGCTTGGGGTGAGCATGGCTCAGGATAATCACGATGTACTGTACAGTTTGATTGATTTTTCGTGCGGGGCTATCATTCACCCCAACTAGATTAGACTTCTCAAAATGCGCCCGATGAGTGGGCTTTCAAGCTCTGCGTGACACTGAATGTGTTTCAAAGGTTTTTGCCTTTATGAGTCGATGCAGTCCAGATGCCAAGCAACTTAGGATGGTGAAGCCTCTTTAGCACACACAGCTAAGGAGCTTTTCATCGGAATGCAGGGCGCCGAAACGCCGCTCCACTTTGACGAGCGGGAAAACCTTTTTTTCCAGGCTCACAACTTGCCCGGATCGGTTCCTTGTCGTTGACAAGCTGCGACAGGTCAGAGGACAGAAGGAGATTGTGGTGTTCCCGTTCGTAGACTATGTGAAGCTATATCCGTTCCCAACAACACATCCCTGTGATCGACAGCTGCTTGACCAACTTTGTGTTCCTGCGTTTGTTATTTCCCGCGACATGGGCTTTTAGGCACAGGGTGTTTGTGTCTTGAGGACTTTCGAGAGCACTTGTTCCTGTGCGTGGTAAGGTCCATGGTGGGAAGTCCCATTGAGGCAGATCTGAATGCCTTCCCAAAGTTCAAAGATGCCAGTGGTCACTATGCAACCCTTCGGGTCATCAACTGAGCCGGCGTGAGCCAGCTTTCTTGCAAGGATGCTTATCCCCGACTGGACACTAAGGCCGGTGATCTTCTGTATTTGTTCCTATGTCGCAATCAGATCTTCTAAGGCATCGTGGGTTTTGTTGTTCATCAGCATCATAACAGGCCGTATGGTTGGTGGCATTGGCTCCGGAACTTGGTCTCTTGGCGGGATTCCGTGCAGCTCACGGGTGCCATCAAGTAGCAGTGAATGTTCGGGGGATCTCTTTGAACACTAAGCTCCAAGGACAACATGGCAATCTCTGTTTCATTCTGGAGCACCACTCCGGCAACTGATTTGTCCAATGGCTGCTCGGTGCAGATACGACTTGTTGCGAGAAGTTTGCTGTTGACACGAGCTGAGGTGTGCCCTCCGAATTTTCGGATCACATGCTGACCCGCGTCTCCAAGCAGCAGGGGAAAGCACACTGCCCGTATTGCAAAATGTTGCTTCGGGTGAACTTTGTGCTACAAAGGTTAGACGCAATCTCGAAAGTGGCTGGGCTGGAATTCGTGCATTTGCAGTCAACCTGCTTTGAAACAATCTGTGCGCAGAAGTGCTTTAACATGTGTTAGCATTTTCAGGGGTGGCAGGATGATCAGGATGTGGCAGGATCTGAGTGCGACCGCAGGCATCTGAACCGACCATCTTAGACAAACAGCTGGCGCCAGAGTTGCTCACTAATTTTACCCCTATCTCAGTCGTCAAGGCTTGGTGGCGCAGAAGTTTGGCCCAGAGCACCTAGACGAAAGCATGTACCCCGGCAGGATTATTCTGCTTCGCAGGGTAGCATTGTAGGTGGTCTCATGCGACTTTCTGCGTGGCAAATTCTTCAAAAACACTGAGTGTAATCAAAGGCCAGGTGGGTTTTCCTGGAAGGAAATGCATCCAATCAATCTACAAAAAGCTGATCCTCGTTTTGCCTGATAGCTGGGACCTCCGCTGACCCCTCGCTTCCCGATGCAGACGTGTTTCCTTCGAAGGCTGAAGCTGCAACAGATTGTCCGCAACAAGCAGGACGAATGAAGTCAACAAGTTTATGTTTGTGTGTAGGGCTTTGAGCTAGGGTGTGGGGTTCTTGCAGCAGACCGCAAAAAGACGTAACACGGCATCTGAAGCTTGGGCTCAGGATATAAGTAATTTCGCTTACACCAGCTGATGTCACCCTTCCCGATAATTCTTCTGACTATCACAATACGCGATGTGGTGTTGCATGGTTCAGTATGAGAGTGTACTGGTAGGCTTGGTTCAGGCTGCAGGGGACGCCCAGAGTGACCTTTCGGACTAATCCTGGCAATAGCCATGATGTGCAGGACGATCCGATTCTGAAGTATGTCCGGGAGCTCCTGGCAGCGGTTAAGATTCCGCCCCAGAAGCAGGCGGTGACGTTTGTATTGTGGCCTTCTCAATTTTGTCTTAATGTTGGTAGTCTTATGTCAGTTCTCCTCTTGGTGCGGCTTTATGTGATTTATGATCATCATTGCGGTACCCGCAGTGTTGGGGTCCGTCCTTGAGTAGCCATTCAATGTGATGAAACTAAGCAGGTGGGACGCTTCCGCAAGTGCGTAGTTCATGCAATCTGAAGCCGCACAGCTTTACGAAGTGCCTTGGGGCCAAAAACCGTGCGTCCTTCAATAAGTTTGCTGCTTACAGCGCGTCGCGTACCAGGACGACTTCCTGCTGGAGATCATCGACGGCAGATTTGGCATAGACTGGAACAAGTATGTGCATCTTGTCGGCAATGGTGTGGTTGTCGACCAGTATCTTGAAATTCTCATCCGCCGGCCTGCGCGCACCACATCTGTGGCTGCACGAAGGTGTAGAAGTCAAAAATGTTAGCTAGCGGCTAGCTTGTTCGCGGGCGAAGACATGCTACAAGCTGCTACGCGACATGAGCAACTGGCCCAGGTAAGGTTTCCACCTGCAGCCTCTGAGAGATTGCAAGTGGGGCACAGTGATTGGCAGGATTAGAGTTAGCAAGCACATCACCATGGTCTGTGTGCAGAATCAGTGTGCTCCTCTGAGCGGATGTGTTTAGATTTGTCTTTCCCCAGACCTGGAACGGCGAGGGCAGCAGGCAGGCAGTCTACAACTGCCCCTCAATCCCTTGTCCGAATTCCACAAAGACTTTGTTCAGTTTAGAAAGTGCCATGTAGGGCTGAAGCCATTCCTGAGGGCCGACCTGGCCGGCCTTTGGTATACTGTGTGGCCGCAGATGCAGTGCTCTTCTGCCTGGCTCTGCAGGGTACAGTAGGTAGAAGTGCGGCCTGCGACGCATTGGTCACAGGCCACCTACGCATAGTTTATGCTGTGAGAAGTGGCGGTTGTAATTTGTCGAGGCCGATCCGATCATGAGAAACAGTTGCTCACTCACGTTTGCGAGAGGCTTAGTAGATGCAGGCATATTAGGCAGCCAGCGCTTTGCATTTCCAAATTGAGCTCCTTGCTCCGAAAGAAAAAACACAAGCTAGTGGCTAGTGCCCATGCCACTGAGATTGTTGCCTTCGCCGCAGTGGCGGAGGGCATTCCGCAACCTTCGCCTTGGCCGCCAGTGCTGGGATCCCATCTTCTCTGCTTTGAGTAAAGCCTGGGACTGCCCCCAGATGTAGCTCGTCATACCTCTACACTGAGAGTTGCGACTGCAACAGCAGCTCAACAGCAGCAAACCTGCATTTTCCTGAGTACCATGGTGCTTGCCTGCTGCCATTGCTATATGCCCGGATGTTTGTCTTACTCACTCAGGAGGGACGAAGGTATGGCCCCCATGACATGCTTTCACTCTTGCAACTTTGTTGTCTTCTCCCATTCATTACAATGCCTGAAAGACTACAGTAGTGGCTAGTCTTTTTATAATCGCATGATCATAAGTAGTGCTGACAATCCTCCAGACCTTCTACTATTGTCAACTTCACGCGTCAGTATCTGTAGTGGTGGTGCTGGTGATTGTGGAGGTGGCACTGGTGGTGGCGGTGGCGGTAGTGGCAGTAGTGGTAGTTTCAGCAAGACTCAGGTTCCACGCTTACATGCTGAAGAACCGAAGCGGCCAGCTGCGTGCCTTGTCAAATTTGCTTGCCAGAGGCAAGAGCAGCTCCTGTACTGTAGGCGCATGAACCTGCATAAGCAGTGGGGGTTCTACTTGTACAAGTAGGGGCACCATGAGCTCCCAAAAACGGGACTCAAATAGTTGGAAGGCTCTATATTGCTGGCTTTGTTGAGGGTTTGGGGGTTTAGGGAAGTACTTGCCTCGCGTTCCAGGATGCTCGCCATGTCGGGTATGTGGTTCTCTTTCCAGCTTCTTGTGCCAACAGAACAAGTTCGGCAGTTTGATTTGCAGATGTATCATTGCGCTGTAAGCGTCTACAGTGAGATCCAAAGGATAGTCGCTTTCCAGTGTGTGTCTGATTTTTGGGCCCCTCAAGTGCTTGCCTTACTTTCACAGCCAGTGAAGCTGTGTGCCGAGCTGCTTTTATGTGTGTGAAGGCAGGGACCTGAAGCTAGTGCCTCCAGAAAAGGAAAGTGTTTGTGGTAATCCTATCTGCGCAGTTGCTGCTACTACGAAAAATGGATTTACTACTGATGCCATCTTTGTTGCGTGGCAGAGGGTCCATACTTCTACCAGAACAGTGACGGGCAGTGACGGGCAGCAGCAGCTTCAGGCCACACAGATCTGTACTACGACTGGCCAAAGGGCGGCAACCTCCACATCGACAGGTCTGCATGTTATCATTGCAGGGGCATGAGCTGTCAGACCGTCGAAGGATGTTTGAACTACGAGCAGGTGGAGGGATAATGGGAGTAAACTAACCGCAAGAGCACATGCACGGTTATGAATGAGGTGCAGAACAAGCCTTTGGAGGTCGCTTGGGTAGAAGTCTCTGACAACACAGGAGCCCGGGGCAACCCCCATTTTTCGACAACGAGCGCCAGAATGGCAGCACGTGGCACACTGAAGCTGTTTGGGACTTGGTGCACTGTGCTGCGGTAACCTGCAGTATGGATAAAGGTACTACTACACTCCTGGCGGCACCTGCAAGGCCATGTGTCCAGATTTGAGCAACAGTGAGATGGCTGCAGAAGTTGTCAAACTTGCAGGTCATAGAGATGGGCGTGGGGCTTCTGCCGCCTTCTTGGCTTCAGGATGCCCACTACAGCGGCAAGCAAGCTGCAACTTGATTGAGCTACTGGGCTATAGTCCCCCTTAAGTAGATTTCGTTATATAACATAGGGATAATGTAGAAGAAAATGAAAACTACTTCTTAGGGTTTAGGGTTGGATATATAGTTACCCTTAAGCAGATACAACATGGGGAGTACCAGGATCTTACTACAATATGGGTCAATTCCATATTCTCTCTACTTAAGGGGGGCTATACTCCAATGCATCCTTTACCCTTGATTTGTTTCATTCGGTTTCTGCCTTGCACTCTGATAGGAAAGGAGACCCCCCAGAAGCCTGCAATGCAAAGAGTCGTGAGCCTTCGATGCAGGTTGTGTCGCCGGCGGATCAATCCATCCGCACTTGTCGCACCCTTGTTTTTGAAGTCAGCAGGGCCGCTATTTTGCAAGTATCCTGTTGGACGAGCTTCTTTGTCCTGCTGCCCAATTTAGGCTCAAGCCTATTCACATTTTCAAAAAACTTACCGAAGAAGGCCAAAACGGCCAGGCTTTCCATTAGTATGGCCAGCAGAGTTGCTGCCAAGCATCAGCTCTTGGTATTTGGATTCGTGCTGGCAACAGCAACCTATGGACAGCAGCTTGGAGGAAAGTAAGATACTTTGATATAAAGCGTGCATAGCTAAGCTTTTCCAGATTCGTTTGACAACGCAATTCAAGGACGTCTGAGGGTGACTGCGCCAGAGGGGCCTCTATGTTCCAAGTACGCGTTGCAGGCAACAAGCAAGAAGTTTGTGCGCCGCTGCGGAATGAAGGCAGCGGTGCAGACCACATGTTGCAACCCATTATGACTACGCTCACCTGCATTGACACTTGTGCCACAAAACCTTTTCTATGTGATAATTCTATCCATGTGACCCTTGTGGCTGCCAATTTCCTGAAACAAGTAGCCGTACTTACTTGCTTGCCAAACAGCTTGCTAGGCACGTTCTTTTCCGCACACGTTTGCGTGGGCACCCCGGCTCAATGTTTTGACGCAGTCGCGGACACCGGCAGCGACAATGTCATTGTGCCCTCCTGCATCTGCGATGAGGTTCCAGGCACAGGATGTGGCAAGCATGAGCGATGCTTTCGGGGATCGAACAGGTCATCAACCTTTTCCATACCACCGACTCCCAAGATCGCAGAGCTGACGTTTGGCAGTGGAACAATCCAAGCCGCGATCGCCAGTGACGTTGTCAGCGTCTCGGGTGTAAGCGCGAACATGACCAATGGTGTTCTGCTAATGCTAAACCGAGCGGCTCTGGAGGTAAGCGGGGATTTTCAGGGCATCCTTGGGCTGGGCCTACCTAAGACTCCAGCTGCCTTGAATATGGGCGGCACGATCCTGGCTACGGAGCCGACTCCTGTCTACTCAGGTATTGTTGCCGCTTTTGTTTGTTTGCTCTTTCCCCAGCTGTGCCCTGCTACTGTCCCTTATCATGTCAAGAGACAGAGCACGCCCTATGAAGAAAAGCTCTTCCTCCAGATGGCGAAGGTCGATCGCTTCTCATTGTGTTTTCAGGATGCAGAACAACCTGGAGCCTTGCGCTTCAACTTGCCTCCATTTCTCAACGCCATTGATCAAATTGGAGAGCTTCATTGGGGAATTGGTTTGCAAGGCATGTCCATTGGCCCTCGCAATGGTCCTTCAGACAGTGGAGTCATTTTCTGTAGTCCTGAGACAATGACACCCGGCATGACCAGTCCCTGTGGCATCATCCCAGACTCTGGCACAACACTGATAACTGGCCCTGCCCAACAGGTAAAAGCGTTACAAGCCGAGCTGTGCAGCAAGTGGCCAAGGTGCAGGGAGCAGGCTCGTGGACAGCCAAGTGCTTTGGACTTTGAGCAGGTGCTTCAGGACTGCTCCAGCTGGCTGAACGAGTCTGGCTTGGAGGAGATCCCATCTCTTTTCTTCCATGTTGGCATGACAGGGAAACAGGTTGAGGTGTTTGAGCTGACGTCCTGGGCATGGGTCACAGAAACATTGGTGGATGGCACAGCGGTTTGCATGCCGGGATTCGGAGAAATGGAGTATTCGACTGCAAAGAATGGTCCCGTCTGGATCTTGGGCACCCCGCTGTTTTACGAGTACAATGTAGGCTTTGACCTGAAGGCAAAGCAGGTATCACTGGAGGCAGGGACATGCCAACCCTGCTTGTCAGACACGCTGCTGCTGTCAAAGCCCACCTCGCGACTTTTGCCACGACGACAGCAGGGTCCCTCCAGGATACGGCATTTGGATGTCAACAGCCCTTTATGACATCTACCTTATCGAGAATTTGCATTCCTCGCAGTGGTTATTTCGAGCCGCCGCGGGCTTCAAAAAGCGATGCGGCATCCGGCTGTTCATCACAGCTGCTGTTCCCACACCTGAGGTGCATTGAAGTCATTGCAATCTGTTTCAGGTCATGTCTGGACAAAAGGTGATGCCATGGGAAACTACACAGGCAAGCAATTTTGTGTTTTTTGGATGGACAGTCTGGGAGAAAGTAGCCTAGAACTAGAATTCAGAATAGGTCATTCTGCTGCATCCAACTTGCAAGCTAGCTACTGTCGCAGGGCCGTTCATCACCTACTTCGAGGATCAAGAAACCAGAACACCAGCGCGCGGGGTCCACGGATTTCAACCAATTTTGCGCACGCATGGCTGCAGAGCCTTCGAGCAGGTTGGGTCTTCTTTGACGGCATGTCCTTTGATATCCTCAGCTGGGAACCTGGAAAGCAGGCATTGGGCGGGAACTGCGTGAGAAGGATCGGGGATGGTCTGCTGTTTTGTCCCAACCTGTGATCTTGTTGTGGAAAACATTTCATTTCGCTTGAGGCGGATCCCCTGGAAGCTTTGAATTTCTAATGGGGAATATGCAGAGAACACGAGGACCTCTCCCATTTCATTTTACAGACTTGCAATCTCAACCGGTCTGGACCCTCGACCTGCACAAGATACTTGCCCTATCCCTGAGACCTCTCACTTCCAAGAGCCATGTATACGGATTTACACATGTCCGGCAGGTGAAATAGGGGTGTCTCCAAGGCTAGAGGGCAACCACTAAACAGGCTATAAAATCCTAATTTGACTGTCCGCAGAAGTAAGCCACACAAGGGATGGGTTGGCAGGCATACAACATAACAAGGGGGGATGCGACTAGAGTTTATAAGTCATGCAGTGCAGAGCAAATCAGGCGCTTCCTTTGTTGCTTGAGCATCTCAAGTGGGGATCCATTAGCCATGACTGTTCAGGGCAGAGTTTTTAGGGAAACTTGCCATAATTTGGATGCCTCCAGGCAACAGCTGCGGAGTGGCAGCGCTTCGGAAGCACAAAAGCAAACTAAGTTAATGAATGATAGGTCGGTCTTCGCCTGCTCATGACAGCATTCTTGAGCATAGTCTAAACTTTCCAAGAAGCAAGACTGTTAGACGTTTGTATAACTTTCGTCGTTGCGACGGTCCGTGTGGAATGTGTGGATTATTGTGGAGTTTCTCAGAAAGCTGGCAGCACTCTAGCATGACTGACTTTGAAGCCAAGGCTGCCTGCATCCTGTTTCTCGAGCGCCGCGAAGAGCGAACCAGAGTTGATCGTGGAGGTGGCTTTCGTGTGTTGCTTGGTAATCATGACTATCAATCCAAGGCGCCGGGGTAGAAGGACGAGAGCTGCCAAGAAAGAGAAGCCAGCTGAAGCAAGCGATGGGAAGCGTACCCGCAGGTCGACCATCTTCGCGCTTGGTCCAGGTGGCCGGCATGTTGTACGACAGAAAACTTCCTGCCAGCTTGTCAAGCTTGAGTATGCTTGTCTTGCCTGTCTGCCCGGTTCAGGCAGAGCAGTCCTTCTGCATCTGCGACGATGATGGTTTGAAGAATCACATTCAGCCATCAAACCCAGCATGGACTCAAACGGTGAAAAAGACATTGTTTCATGAGCAATCTTGTCAAGCAACTGGTCACCCACTTCATTTGTTACGCTTTGGGTGCAAGATTGAGAGTGGAAGGTAGACGCAAAGTTGCGACAGAGGTGAAGATTTCGCAAGGTGCCGTTCATTGGTGTAGGCTCTCAGTGAGCAAATGCAGCTGCTTGTAGCGGCAGCTGTTGGTAGCTTGTTGTCTCACATACAATGTTGTGCGAGATAATTATGCTTTCCGGACAGGCCACTGGATGGTTGCAAAGGTCCTGCCAGCTTGATGCTGATAATTCTCCAACATGTAGGGCTGGGGTTGTACAGTGATTGGCAAACAGACCATTGTCAGATACGATAGCTTTCTGGTTGATTCTTGCTGCTCGCCATGGCATCGTGCAATGTTGAAGCTCGGGAGAAGAGCGTACTCACATTGACGCCAAGACTCACTTAGCCAAACCATTTGGATGTGTTGGAGGGTCTGTTTGGCTGGTCATGATTCCTACCGCATGGGACCACGCACTTGGCATGGGAGCAGTGATCTTGCTGAGGATATATCCCAGAAGACCTTCGCAGAGGCTGGTGCTGCTGGGCCTTAAGAAGCGGGGCTTTGGGCAAGGCAAGCTAAATGGCTTTGGGGGCAAGCTGGAGGCTGGGGAAAGCCTTGAAGCAAGTGCCATCAGGGAGCTGCAAGAAGAATGCGGGCTGATGGCAGATCAGAGCAGCCTTCACTGGCGGGGATGCTTGACGTACATCTATGATACGAAGCCCAAGGCTATGGAAGTAAATGTCTTTGACTTGGACTTGTGGAAAGGTGAGCCAGAGGAGACGGAGGAGATGAAGCCTGCATGGTACGCACATCAGGAAATACCGCTTGATAACATGTGGGCTGATGATGCCTATTGGCTTCTGCAGTACTTGGATGGGCAAATGGCCACACCATTTCTTGGCCGATTCCGTTTCAAAGGCCACGAGGGCCCCGACAGCTGGAATGTGTTGGAGCACTTCGTGGCGCCTCTGGCGCCAGCTTCAGTTCCAAGATTCGGCCAGGGTGAGGCTGGAGCAGCTCTCCTTGTCTCAACAGTGAGCTTCATTGACGCCCCTAGCGCTCGTCCACTGGAGTCCTTCATCCGCTACCACTTGCGGAAAGGTTTTGCCCGGGTCATGATCTTTGTGGACAGCCCAGCTGACACAGCAGTCCTCGATGTGATCCGGCGTTTCCCAGCCTCGCGTGTTTTGCATCATGTGCGTGGGGAAGAGCTGCTGCAAGCTCAGCGAGAGAATTGCGCGTCATTCAACAAGCTCGCCAGCTTCGTGGACAAGGAAGTGTCCGCACGCCAACTTCTGGACTTTGAATTTGCTTCCACATTGGCTCCAAGTTTGGGTTGCCGCTGGATTCTGTGTTTAGATTCTGATGAGCTTTTTTACACCGACGAAGATTCCATAGTTCCTCACTTTGAAGCCTTGGAGTTGAATGGCATCGACCAGATGTCGTATTTGAATCACGCTCCTTGGCCAGGCGACTAGTTTTATCTAGTTTCTGTGCCGGCCCAAGAGGCCATTTCAAGTAAACATACTGTACATCTTCGGTCTAGCATGCATTGACATTCTGAGGAGGCTGTGCCAGAGAAGCCGGAGACGCCTGATTATTTTGCAACGGTATCTTTGTTCAAGCAGCACCAGTTCTCTGTGCCCCTTACAGCCAAAGCTCGAAGTGGTCTCAGGTTTTGGATGGAGCGCTCCAGGCATGGGCAGTACTTCCTCTTTTATGACAATGGCAAGAGCGCATGCAGAACAGGATTAGGAGTTACAATACCAAAAAATCAGCACCTCTGGCAACTGCCAATCGGCTCAAAGTCGTGTACAGCTCTGGCAGATCCCCGTCGCATGGATGTGGAAGGTTTCAGGGAATGCAAGTACCCTTGTATCCTCCACTTTCCTGTTTGTGGGATTGAGTGGCTCAAAGCCAAGTACAGAACTTTGGGCAATTTTCCTGACAAATGGTTGGGAAACATGCCGCTAAACGAATCCTTTCACAAGGATGCCAGGGAAGAGCACAAGTCCGGCGGCGATGCCTTGCAGACTTTGTTTACAGAACAGGTCATGCTGGACTCGAGCCAAGCGGATGTACAAGTCGCTTGTGGTACCTGCGTAAGACTCACAGGCCACTTGACCGTTCTGGATTCTATTCCGACTGGCAAGGCCTTGCCCAAAGCAGGTGAACAGAAGTCTTCAGTGACTTATGCCGTAGCCGAAGGCGAAACAATGAAGGGAGTTGAGCGAGGCTGGATCTTATCCAAAGCAATGGGTTATCTGTCACCAGAACTTTGATGCTTGTTGTAAGAGGACGTGATGGAGCAGACTGGCCTGGCGCATGTTGGCATGATTGCATCAGACGTTCACTGATGATACCCCATAGAACACCACAGAAACAGCGGCTGAGACACGCGGCTTCCTTGGACATTTGCACAACTCCTATGGTTACTGACGGCAATTCGATGAAGCCTCTGCGGGTGCATATATCTCCCCGCAAGGAGGTGCCGGATGACGGAGCCGTGCACAGGTTTCGGCACGTCGGACATGCACATGATGGCCGCGCAATGAAAATGCCTTCCAGCATGCTGATCACCTGAGTGTCAGAAGTCGCATGCGCTGCAACGGGAAGAATGAATACCGATGCAAAACATAAATTACGCAAAGCACTGACACCATGAAGCTGATCTCTTTGGGGAATTCGTCGCCAGGACGAAGCCTGCCAACAAATCTTGAGACCTGCACTTGTGCGAGGGATGTGAGACAAGGTCTTTTCGGCCAAGCGAATAACGACTCCTAAGCTTGAACAGTAAAAGAATCCGATGATTTGAAAAAGACATGCAACTACGAAAAAAACGACATGAATGGCTCAAATGGCTGCCAGGGTCTTAAACGCGGGTCATGTGTTTTCAATCAGATTCCATGTTCCAGTGACTGCATTATAGTTTGATTGCTTGTGTTGCTTGCTTTCGCACAGTCTTTTTTCAATTCTCGTCCGACTGCTCTTGTTACCTTTCATGATCTAGAGTCTTGTCAATTCACATGGCAAGGTAGTCGCAAGCATGCACAGAAACAGATCGAGCTCATTTCATGAAATATCTTGACATCCTAAAGTAATTGCTTTGAGCATGTACTGCACCCTGTAGGGGCAGCAGGATGGGCGATTCCCAATGTGCACTGTGAACGCGATCAAAAATGACCCAAGGCCTCCTTCGTTGACCCCATGTGCCAGAAGCAGATGCTTGGTGCATGACATCACAATTACTGTATATCGGAGTTCCAACACGTGACATGTTGGATTGCTGTGTTTCCAAAAGAGAAAGCAAGTGGGCTTCCAAGATAACATTTTCAAACAGCATGCTCGCAAAGCCAGTGCCCAGGCGAAACAAAAGTCACCTTTTTACGGCTGCCATGCGCTTCCGACGGTCTTGCGGAAAACCTTAAAAAGGTTTGGCTTGCGCGTAGGCACGGCAAGCAGCAGCGCAGGGAAGTCCGGATGATCCTCTATACATTTTTGAGAGAAGTCACCTTTTGGGGGCTGGAGTTGTCTTGCAAGAGCTGAGTAGGGCCCACGAAGGTTCACTCGGCGTGCGTGAGCAGCTTCAGGGCCTGTGGTGAGACCTGGACCACAAACTCAGCTCGCAGACATAGAGATGTCCAGAAGTAAGCTGCATCCAAAACAGCATCTTTGGAAAAAGCGAAGCAGCTTGGTTCCACTTCACTTTCGGCAAGGGTTACAGCAATGTTAGCACCTTCACACGGCCGGTTAAAGTCCATGGCCCTGGCAACAGCTTGCAAGGACTCCATCGTGCATCAGCGCACATGACTCTTTTATTGAAGCCGGATGCGCGTGAGGCTTTCACGCCCATCATTTCCATGCTCTAGTGCTTGTTTGGCCTTTTGGCTGGAGCAGTACTACTGACACTTCAAGGAGCTGGGTAAACGAAGGGCACATCCTCCTGCTATGCACCGAATTGTGCCCATTGCTCCGCCATTCCATGTTCTTTTTACCGTGAGTGCACCTTTGAGTCGGCTCGAAGCTCAACTGGCACTGTGCTTCGGTGATCTGCGGCAATGAAGAGCTCGCTGCTTGTCCTGTGCGCCTGGTCTTACTTCTGCAGCTTCTGCAGTGCTGCAAAGCTCAACGGCGCTGCTGGCACAAGTAGCGGGCAATGGCACGAGCTGCTAGGCGGGCCTTGTTGGCAAGATCTGATGACGTCCGCCCACTCTTACTGAGTCAGTTTTTGTGGGACAGCATGGTTACCTGGTTACCTGCTCAGGGCGGATGTCCAGCCATCTATCTGCAGAGCCATTGGAGCCATTGATCTTGGACCTGGTGAAGCAGAATGCCACTCCAGAGCTAAAATCAATCGCTGAGCCCCTTAGCATGGGCATGGTAGGGCTCGAGGTGAATTCTGTGAGCTTGGGCCATCAGTGCAACTAAGGGAGATGCTCAAGATGGTTGACAAGGAGATGAAAGATGAGGTGAGGAAGAGCTTTCAGGCGGCCCAGAGCCAGATCGATACCTTTGTCAAAGCCTTCGATGCCTGCAGCGATGATGCGCCTGGGCGGGAAGGTTTGCAAAGGATTCAGAAGAAGTCCTGACAGTTTCCTCAGCCCAAGTCACGCGGTCGCTTCAAGCAGGCTACGGTGGCAGGAGCCAGTCACCTAAAGACTTTCGACGCGGAGAAGGTCCTCCATGCATCTTGCCGTCAGGACAGGCGGAGGCATGTGAGTTGTGGTCGAGCAGCAAGGCTTGGAGCCAGCATTTTTTCGTAGGAGGAGGCTACCGCCTACACCATCAATGAGGCCTGCAAAAAGGACATCTCGAGCCAATTGAGCATTTCTGTGATTTGGTTTCTATATTCCCCTTTGGCGGAGGAGTTGTCAACTGCTGGCAATGAGCAGAAAACGGAATGCGATGCTGTGACGTCTTTGGAACGTCAGTCTAGCACATCGCCGGCAGATGGCGCACACTTTTCGCAGGGGTGCTCTACTAGTGGCCTTCATGCATGTCAAGCTGCTGTGCATTTGAGGTAGTTTGCCCACGTCGTGCGCGGTCAGTGGCGATGAGGGCTATGAAGGACAACTGAAGCGAATGCAGAGTCTCATTCAGACTAGCCTTACGACATACACGAACCAGAAGGTTACTTGGCATGACCAGGCTTCAAAGTCCGCTCACCGGCTGCAGCATTGCTGATTTGTTGCCGATGCCGAGGCGAGGTGCACCAATGCAACCGCGGCAACAACGGCGAAGAAGTCCGACTGTGACCCCAAGGCGTCGAGCTTTCAAGATGACTAGCATGTCGGGTCAAGCGCGCGAGAGGCTACCGCTTATACGGACAAGAGGGAGGAATGCAACAGACCCTGAGCTGGAGTGGAGCTGACGAGGGCACGAGAAGAGCAATACTTCCTGGTTAAGGTTATGCACGGAGAGGCAGGTACTAGTAGACACCACTTTTCGGGTGTAGCAAGGAGCTCCAAAAGCTCAGGAGTCCAGGACACCATGGACAGCGCATCGTGCTCCTATTACACGTCCATGGAAAGTGCCTGCAGCACTTGTTACAAAACCGCAGAGGCCATGGGGATCGGCAATGAACTAGATCATGTGCGAGCCACGCTTTGGCAGTGAACATGTTGCCGGGCCCATCTTTGCCTTATGTTCATCTGTTGGGGAAGGGCGCAGTTGAGGGCTATGGAAGTTTGGTTCTGGCACGGTCAGACCAACTACGAGAATGGCAAGCCTTTGCTGAAGACACAGCAAGCAGGCTTTGAGCAGGAGCACTGCGCACTACTTCTGCATTTGCACCCTGACGCAGTCTTGCAAAGGAGTGGAATGCCATCATGAAGATCCAGTGCCTTCTGAAGACGTTTGCAATGCAGGACATCAACTTCAGATCCACAGATTTTCAACACACGATCTACATGACATACCTCTTTCCCCAAAGCAAAGTATGTTCCGACAGACCTTGGCACCATACAATCTTTTTCATGTCATGTTCAACACCGCTGATATCTGAGAGCCTTCTGCTGCATCCCTCACCCCCGAAAGGAGCCAGATAAGATGGGCAAGCCAATTGCGGCACAAATTGTGCACGCAGCACGGCTCCCTTAGTAGCTTACCACGGATGCATGAAAAACTTGTTTGCCACCAACGAACTCTCGAATTGAAATGCTTGTTAATTTTGCGGGTCGTTACAGTGCAAAGCATGCAGCAAGCACTGGCGGATGATCGAACCGCGCTAAAATTTGACATCGATTTACGCTGAATTCTTACAAGTCTTTCGCAACGGTCCTGGCTGCGCTTGCAAGGGGAGCGTTGGTTGTAGTGTTATGTTTTTTCATTGTTGGCACTTGGCCTGCTTTGCACTGGTCGCTAGCTAAATTCTGGGCAGATGTCCTGGATCGGGAGAAAGCCCCAGACTTTCGGAAAACCGACCCCTACAAGTGTTGGAAAGGCGCTGGCTCCTGGAGAGTGCATAACTCAGACAGCTTACAATTTGCAGCTGCCACAAGCGAGATGGTAGTGTTTCAGCCTTCTGGGTGGGTTTTCTGGTGTTGCATATCAGCTTTCATCCCTGGAAAGGACTCGAAGAAGGGGGGCCAGATAAAGGAATGCAGTAACACGGAGTATGATGGCGACGGGGAGCTCCAGCTGGTCTTTCCTGCCACTCCAGCCCAGGATTGCAACTGGGCATGGCAGGGGATGGCCACACCTTATTTCACCTTGCCACGCAGATCATGCAAACTATGCAACACCGAGGCAAGTTGCCAACGGACACTGCCGTCAGCCAGAGCTACAGAAGCCTGTACGCGGTCCTCCCCGACACAGCTCCTGCAAAGACCTGCTCAGCCGACTGCTGTGCTTCTGCTGAGCTACATGAATTACATGCGTTGCACTTGTCTAGCTGCAGAATTTACGCACCTTTCTTTGGAAGCAGAACGGCCTCATGGTGCATCAGGCTGGGTCTCGACGACGACCACAACCAGCACCACAACCACAACAACCACCACCCAGCCGGCCAGCTGGGTGAAGTGCGCGCGAATACCCGCTTCTTGGGGGACGGTAAATCTCAAGAACTGCCCCCAGGACTGCTCGGGCCTTTACTGTGCTTTCACTCTCAAGTGATGTTGACCCAGATTGCTGAGGTTCCCCAAATGTAACATCCACTTTAAATAAAGCGAGAGGGAAAAATCCTGCGCCTGCTGTGTTGATAGGAACCCTCACATGCTAGCATGCTCGCCCTTCTGCTCAGCTCTCCCTCCTCCGTAGCTGCCGAAGCTGGGGCGGGGCACATTCATGCCAGTGGCATGTTGAACTGCAGTTGTATTGTGTAACGATAGCGTTTGTGCAAGCGTTTTGTGTTGAGCACGCTTACCTAAGTCTCCCTGCAGGGCAAGGGCTACAAGTGGCGACTTATGAAGATGAACGGCAGCGTCTGTGCGGAGGCTACAAACTGGGAGTATCCAAACGACAATGCAGACAAATCTCTTGGTTATTATTTGGATGCTCAACTGCAGAAATCCTATTAAGTTGCCCAGTGCACGCAGCTCTAAGCAATGCATTTGTTACACTGTACGGGCCGCACAAGCAAAATGGTCTCTGTCATTAATGATGGTTCTGAATTGATGTGGAACAGTGACTTGGCTCCCATCACGTTCAGCGAGCGAGTTGTTCCATCCAAATTAGGGTAACTAGGGCAAACCCACTCGGCTATTGCGTTGTATTGTCGAGAAAGACAGATGGGGCGTTGTCGTCTTTAATGTCAACCTGCAATTGCGGAGCTTCTTGTAAACAGACGCTACCTTCCTCTCTCACCATGTATATACACATGCATATACTCCTTCCGTAGTACACTTGGGGGTTTTGGCTTGATTTTTGAGGAAGCAAAGGTACAACCTGCCAGCGCTTCGAGTACTCGTTACAAAAACGCCTATTCCGGTCTGCAATAATTCCTTGGGATCGCTGAAAGTAATCCATTCGATATCGCCTTCATGATCTTAAAAGCTATAGCGCTATATTCAACAAGTCGGTTCAAGCACCAACGGTGACATTGAATCAGCAACCACCCTCTCAATCAAAGATAGAAATTCAATCACCCCTACTCCGTCACTGTTGTTGCTTGAACCGGTTCTTTTATAGGACGCATGAATCCTGCTTTGTGTTTGAGTCTTGAGAAAGTAGACATGCCAAGGCATTTGACATCTTCAAAGGTCAGTGCAAAACAGCTCACAATCGCAGAATTCTAGAGCAAACTCACTGTCCCTCGAAAATGTTGAGACAACCGTGGAAACAGCTCCTAACCGAAGAATTCCACAGCAAAAGCATTGTTGATCGAAAATCTTCAACCCAGAGCGGACCCCCCACCAGGTTCGAGCCTGGGAAAACCCGAGCTATAATGAAGGAACAAAAACTGCGCCTTTTGAAGGGAAGAATCTGGAGATCTTCATTACCGCATTTGACAGTGTGAAGAGGGTGCTGTCCTCGCTCTTTGGGAGTCCAGAATCGGGCTCAGTGTGGCTCGCACGGAGTCCGAGTATACATCTACATCGTTTCCTAAAAAGCAGTTGTATACTGCCATCAATCCTACTGAAGTCTTAGTAGCCAGAAGTCCTAACGCCGTCGTGTTCCATTCATCTTTCACCTTAAAGCCTATCCTGAAAAATCCTAAGCCCCACCGGGCCCCACCCTCTGGGAAACTGGCACAGTCCACAGAAACCCTAGAGCCCCTTCACTATTAAGCCTTCAGTCTAGATCAACCTTAACATCTTGAGCCCTCCCGGCAACTAACACGGAAACCCGAAAAGAGGCCTGTTAAGATTACAGTCTTTTCAAAGGGGGACGATTGGTTTCCATGTTGGTTTAGGAGAGGTGCGGGTGGTGAAGGCGGGATGGGAGGTGGAAGGCGGGAGGGGAGGGAGGTGGGAGGAAAAGAGCTGCTGGCGGGAGGCGGGGAGGCAGCGATGGTGTGATGTTTTGTGAGACCGTTTCGGTCGGTTCAGTGACTACCCACAGTCAGCGATACAAACGGTTCGGTTTGCGACGCACTGCTGCGGTATGCGGTAAAGAAGTATTGTTGTAGCAGCTATGTATATAGGTCATGAAGAGATTATGTACGGGTGTGACATAGAGCTAGGTTTCAGGGGTGATGCAACATAGGCGACATACATATATAGCATATATATATATTGCCATATTGCACAAAAGTCAGCGATCCGGAATCGTTTTTGGAGATCCTGCGACAAAGGTGGTTTTGCAACAGATGTCCGAAGCACTAGCAGACGTGGTACTTGTAAACGAAGGCAAAGTGTAAACCCTTCCATGCTGCTGCTGCTACAACAGCTGCGGCAACTGATGCGGCTATGGCTGATGCATATCCAAGAGGCGCAATTACCGCACCCTCCCCCAACCTCTCTTACGTGTGAAAAAATGCAAGCGCCTGGCAGCGCCATCAATTACTACAGCCCTTACAAGACACTGCACCCCGTAGCGCAAAAACTCCATTGTTTCATACTAGGTTGGGTACAACTACGGGCTGTGAACCAAGCATTCTACCACAGGCTATGGTCTGCTTTTATATGTGCTGCTGTGCCAGACCTTGTCCTGTTCATATCATTCCTACTGTTGCAGTGATGGGTCGCATCAGCAGCCAAAATTAATCACTCGTCAAGCCGTGCCAAACCGTGCGGGCAGTCGTCCCCCCGTGTCGGACTTCAGCGCCTTGTTCGCTGGGAGGGTAGTTTTGAAGGATTGGAAACAGTTCACTGCACCCAGTGGAGCTTAACCTCGGCTCAGCGTAGTCAGACCTGCATGCGAGGTGCAGCGAATATGCCTCCACATTTGAGAAGTTATATTTATAGTTCCGCAACCATGTGCTGGATGGCTGAGGACACCTTCACCAATGGAGGTTGGATTTCGCCAAACACGCACGGGACGCAGGGTTGTGGCAGCTTGGCATGCAATCACATTGACGGGCACGCTGATGCAAATATGCATTCCTGGACAAACTAGACCATTCATTGGCAAGACTCAAGCTGTCATCTCAGGCATCCATTCCAGCGCTGCATGGAAAGGTTCAACGACGTATCAAGGCTACAACAATGACGGCTCAGACCTCGACCTTTACTACATGAATAGGTGAGCTGAACGATTGCGACAGTTGCATCTGAACAGTCTTGTCGAGATACTGCTCAGACAAAAAGGTGCGCTGTGCCGGCCAGCTAGTACACAGCATCATGCAGCACTGTCCAACACTTTCCTTTGATGCTCTGCAATTGTACTATGCTTTACGCTTACAGAATGCCAAGCCATGCTGTGCTGTAACTGCCGCACGTATTGTACGGGGCTTATCGCCTGGAACCCAGCGAAGAAGCTACTTCTTGAATCCCCTGACGCTCAACGTTCATTTGCTTTTCCAGGTGAGCGTTCGACACTGGATGCTCACAATGGAGTTGAGTTGAAAAGTCGTTTTCGGTTGAGTTGAACGAGGCAATGAGCCGCGAACTCCACGAATCCCTGTATTTGGGAGTAGACACTCATTATAATCCTCATATCTGTATAACGGGATTCCTGATTAATAAAAATCTCTAAAGAAAAATTGATTATACAATATATATGATATATCTAATTCTCAGAAATTTTAATTTCTAAATACGAAATAAAAGATAATTTTGATCCCTCCTCGTTATGCCCTGAACTAATTTGGAGATTTCAGATTCTGCGCCGCTCTACAATCTGCTCTACGATCTGATATTATGGGGGGGAGAATCTAGATCCCGGCCTATAGAATGCAGATCCCTAATCTCTGCTCTATTAAATTATCCTGAATTATTTCTAGAAAAATGAAATGCCTATAATATATTTCGTTTATTCTTATTCAATGAAAATGTGCTGTTCGGCGTGAGAGAATAGGGCCGTATGAAGCGTCGCTAGCATAGAGAAATAATTTATCTTGGCTTTATTATGCTCGACTAAGGGCTCTTATTTCTTGAGTTATCTTTGAGATCTATTCATTCTGGGCATATCTCTTGGGATATGAATCTGGAGTAAAGAAAAATGAGAGGAGTCTAATTCGGTCCCATCCGAGAGATCGAGAGCCCCTCGTTTCTTTAGTCAAACGGGGATGGAAAATATCTTCTATTATTTTTCTTTCGAATATCGCATATAAGGAAACGAGTTGGGATTCTGATATTCTAGATTCATCAAGAAGATCTGAATTTCTCTATTGGAAGAAATAGCTCCATTAATTGACTCGATCCCTCGTTGGGAATTGATTAATTTTTGAAATCTATGATGATTTCGATTTCGGCTAGGAATCTAAAATCTTCAATATTAGATATATTGAGAATTTATTGATTTCGTTTATGATCGGAGATTATAGAAAAAGATAAATGGCTCCGGGAATAGATTGGGAATCGAAATTCTTGAGATTTGCAGATTTTCATTTGAATAGGATCTATATATAAATTTGATTATTTTATATATTTCCGTGATTTTATAATAGAAATATAAGATATTACGTGATATAAATGATGAAGATATAGGTTCTGAAAGATTTTGAATATCTGCCTTAGATATATATACGAATTTCTAAGTCGCCGCTCAGATAAATTGCATAGAAATTTAATCTGGAATTAAGGGTCTGGTCGTTAGCTGAGACTTAGGAAGGAGAAAAAAGGGAATTCTAAATTTCCCCGTGATTATATATTCAAAGAGGTCGATAGAGAAAACAAGAAAAAAGAGACGCATACGATTTCAGGTCCCGAGGTCATATATTAAAATCCGCCGCCGCCCGCCGAACGCCCAGGGACCCAAAATCCCGCAGACACGAAAGGGGACAACATCGACCGCAAGCGAAATTCAGCTCGGCGAGACTTCTGTTCTAGACTCAAGCTCTCTTATATATTCCATCTATCGATTGCGACCTGCGCTGGGGAACATCCTGGCTATCGGCAATCACAAAGCGGAATCGAGGAAGATTCGAGGTCAGAATCAGTCAAAAAATAATCCCAGAGATAAAGAATCCTATTTTCTTTGGGAGCCCGCTCGTCTATGCATGAGGCAATGATTGCTATATCGTTGGAGGGCAATCGAGATTCGTTCTTGTAATAAATGAATAAGTGTCGAATATGTCTAGCCTTCCGTCTATTCGGGCTATCGACAATCTTATATAAGGAATCCAAAATCCTTATATCCTCCTCGTTCATGCCCCCTGCGTGATCCAGCACAATGGGTTCCAATCCAATCCCCTATTCTCGACATCTGGCGTAGGTCGCCTGATTGAGCCTCTTAATAATGGCATAATCTTCGGTAGCCTTACGACCTCTTGCTATTCGAAATGGGGAGACGACCGTAAAATCAATTGCAATCCGAGGAAGAAAATGCCAGGATGATTGTCGGCACGGCGCCGAGGGAATGGTTAGAAGATCAGCAGGTCTCCTATCGGGCTCGTCGGGGAGAAGTCCCAAGGGTTCAATCTTCAATCCAAGTCCCCCTCCCGATAAAAGACGGCAAATTTCATCGCAGATATAATTATGTAATTCCGTCTTGTCAATCATGATGCAGGTTAAGCAGTGATGACCATATTGATCTGAATTTTGAGGGTATCACAAGCAAGCCTCATCAGCATCGAATAAAGGCAGACCAAGTCGTATGGCAATTGAATCTGAAAATGCAACGTTGGAAAGATAATTGTCGAAAGCGTGACTTGGGGCTCAGCGAATCTAGCCATCAGCCCAACATCTCGTATAATATTGGACGCGCAATTGATCCCGGGGAGGCAACAATCCCTGAAAATCCCTGGGGCACGAATTCTAGAATTCTATAAGATCTTTATTCTGCGCTGACTCTATATATTCTGTCGAATCGTCGCGTAGCTAGCCAAAGATTCGAAATTTTTGAATGGCATTGATCGCGCGACTTCCTATAGTCATCCCATATTTTTTTATTTCATTTATATTTCTTAGGCTATCTGCGCGGCGATTCGGGAGAGCGTATAAATTCGCATTGGGAATGGATCTTAAAAAATTGGCTCGATAGCTTCAATAACGGAAAATATTTATTTGAAAAATTCATTATGAAAAATCCGATGACCAAAGAATATATAAGCTCGCAAATGAAGTTTGATAAATCTCCAAGATTTTAAAATCGCAGATGATATATAGATTCTGAAAGATATCCGTCCCGGATCTTCGAATTCTCCCGAATCGTCGTGCGGACAATCAAAGAGAAGAAATAGCTCGAAATCTTGAGAGATTTGCGGTCACGCGGCCATTTGATCGTGCGGTCCCGCATCCAGCCCGATCTTTCCTTCTCATTTATTATTCTTGGGTTATCGCTCGGAGGAGCGCATAAATCTCCGTGAATAAATATTATCAATCTAAAATTTGAAAAAACAAATCCGTCCCGAATTTATATATTCCTCCGATTGACCGCGCCGACAACCAAAAAGAGATAAATCTCCTGCAAGATAAAAAATTGCACTTGAATCTCGACGAGCAATCAATATATAAGAGCCGCACGTGATCAAAAACGGCCGAAAGATTTTGGAGGGGCAATTCGAGGAGACCGCATAAATCTCCATCAATAGATACGGTCAATTTTTTAATTCTAAAGGATTATCCGTTACGTATTCTTCCGAATAATCGCGTTGATATTCAAAGAGAGATAAATCATACGATATATATAAGATCGCACGTGAATCTTGACGAATAATCAAAATGCAAGATCCGCACGTGATCAAAAACGATCAACCTGATAGATTCTAGAAGCTTTTGGATCTCCGCCCAAGATCTATATCGAACCGCCGCGCAGATAATCGAGGAGAGAGAAATTGATCGAAATCTCGGGAGATTTCGGATCGCGCGTAACCCGTATCCAATCCGATCTTTCTGCCTCAATTATTTTTCTTGATTTATCTGCGCGATATCTTGGGAGAGAGATAGATACGACCAATCTATAAATTCCGAAAGATTTTGATTCTCCGTCCCGGATCTACATATTCTTCCGAATAATCGTGCCGACATTCGAAGAGAGAGAAACCACGCGAGATATATATGCTCGCACGTAAATCCCGACGAATAAT